TTACTATGCCCCAACAATGTCAAAACAGAAAAAAAAAAGAAAACTAAACTTCCAACTAGTGTTTTATAAGGCACAGAAAAGATTATTTTGTTATGAAAGAGATGGCAAAATATAGGAAAGATGCAAGATTATCAGAAAGAATATTCCTTATTCATACTTTCAATTCATAGGAATTCAGTGCCTACAAAAACAAGAAAATTCAAAACAAGTAACTTATCACAGAAGAATTTGCAAAATGAAAAAAAAAAAAAAAAACCACAATCAAAGTAAGTGACTCATTTGTTAGCCAAGGGAAGGAAGCCTTTTACCAAGAGTAAGTTAATTAAACTGTGTTTGATTGCATCAGTGGAAGAAATGTATCCAGAATAACTGGCTTATGACTATTGAATTACTCTTTTGGCAAAAACAGTTGAATTAAGAACATCAATAGTCAATAAAATAATAAAAGGTTGTCATTGGCTCTTGTTGAGTCAACAAGTATTGCTAACTTTCCCTAGTTATTGTTTATTTGATGACTCAATGCCAAGGCTGAAATGACTAAAAAGTTAAGTTCCTGTTAATTATTTGTGTGGAGCATTATAAGCAAGAATATTTTCTAAGGGAACCATGAATATCATTCAGAATGCTAAGATGTATTATAAATTAGGTGGCAGTAAAAATGTGTGCAGAAAAGGCTCACTCACCCTAGTTAAACTTATGAAGCCAAGTTTATGAAAATGTAGACATTTAAAACCTATGGTTATTTACTTCATTCTTCTTTTTTTTAATTGGTCATGGGGGCTGAACTCTGGGCCTGGGCGCTGTCCCTCAGCTCTTCAGCTCAAGGCTAGCGCTCTACCACTTGAGCCACAGTGCCACTTGCGGCTTTTTTCTGCATATGGTGCTAAGGAATCAAACCTAGGGCCTCATGCATGCGAGGCAAGCACTCTACCACTGAGCCAACTTCCCAGTCCTTCTGCTTTATTCTTTAGCAAGCACTCTGTAGACTGCAAATCACTGAGTCTAGTCAAACCAATGAAGTCAGTAGTGAACTTCATGTGCTCTCCCTGATGCAATCATCATCAGCTCCTTTATCTTTTGTTAGACATGGACACTAAATTTCCTGATTTACCCTCCACAGAGCAAGTATAATTGGCTTAGAGGTAGTAGGTTGGTCATGAATTTTTGAACTCAAGGTTGACCCAAGAATGGCTTTGGAATTTCATCTTTGCTTCAGGCTTGACAGCATTTTGTAATGAATCCAACCAAAAATTACATAGCAAAAAGAACTGTTTATATGTGAACACATTGAAGCACTGGGTTGACAGCATGGTTTGAATTACAAGTGCCATCAAGATTCTTTATAGCTTCCTGTCTTCTCAAAGGGAAGACAGCAGTAAGATTTCCACTCTCATACAAATTTTCAGTTGAAACTACAGTTCCAATTGCGTTTGAGGGCCTCAATCCAAGTATTATTATTTATGTCTGGAAATCCATTTAACCTAAAATTGAAGAGCTGCCACCAACCCTTCAGCTGGAACCTCTATACCACTCAGCCATCTCTCTAGACCCTCTAATTAGCATTTACGACAGGAAACCCAAGTTACCCAAATTAAGCGAGATGTTATCCTCCTCAATTCTTCTCATTCTTAGACCCACATTACAAACTTGTTCTCAATTATCATGTTTTGAATTTTGTCATAAAAACGTTGTGAAACCAGATACTGAGGGCATATATCTATAATCCCTGCACTAGGAAGGCTGAAGCAATGGCTTAAAAGAAACAGGCCACCTTGGACTACATATATAGCAAGTACCCCATCTCTCTCTCTCTCTCTTTCACACACACACAAACACACACACAGACAGACACACAGTAGACACTGGTTTTCCCTCATTTCAGTAACTATATGATAATCTGTCTTGCCTCTTAGTCCCCAAAGCTTCATAATTGACTATCGTGTCCTTTGAAAAAGACAATTTCTGACCTGTGATCTAGAGCCAGAAGCCATCATGACAGACAGTTAAAAGCACAAGTCAAATACCCTGTTTCTCAAGTTAGATGGCCTAGGTTTGCATGCTTACTGTTCTTAGCAGCTATTTGGCTATCAGCACATCTGTCAATCTTTCTTTGCTTCATTTTCCTCACCTGGAAATTCGAGTAAGTAATGGCATTGATATTGTAGTGTCACTGTGAGAACTGAGCACAAAGTAAGTATTTATCTAATGTGAGCTGCTAGTTTGATATGAAAGTAGACATTATCTAGTCATCATGTTACATATCTCCCACCAATTGAATAAAGCCTGTTTTCAGGGATGAAAAGCCCAGTGCATGAAGACAGAGAAAACTCATGCCCATATCCAACTGCTTGCTACCTCTCTCATCAACCAGAAGAACGGGTGAGGCATACAATGACCAGGACAGTCATTCTCATACACATGCTTTATATGGAGGAAATTGTATTAATCTTTGAACATTTTAAAACTTTAAATTTTTACATATTTGTTTATAAAAGAATTAATACACTGGTGCTAGTAATAATTTATAAGTCATTTGACAATGTGATATATGACAACTCAATAACAGGTACAAAAAATATATTTTTATTTATTTGGTAAATATGCACCAAACGTTATGTCTAAATTTTCAAGCTTAAGAACTCAAGTACTTTCACATGTGTACAATGGACAGATCCCTCAAAAATTGCCTAAAGCTATATGTTAACTGCCTATGTGCTTTTTCTTAAACAAATATATCTTATACACTGGGAATTTAAAAGTATTTCTATCTAAAAATTGCTTTCTGCAATGATGGAAATGTTTTATATCCACGTGTTCAAAATGCTAAGTACTAGCTGGCCTCATGTGACTACTGAGCAAATTCAAGTGTAGCTAGTACAAACTAAGAAATTGCATTTTAAATTAAATCTAACTAAAATTAAACAGCCAATTGGATAGCAGTTCTGAATTTCACTGTAGGGCATATGGATGTGGAAATATAACATTTTTGCCTTGAATGGAAAAATTAACTTTATTACACTACAAGGTTAATATCAGTTTCCTATTCAAAACAGACTTGCCTTTTAATGTCACAAGGTATTTTCTAGTAGCAAAATTAGTTCATTGTTTAACAAAAAATGTTTTTAACGTTTCATCCATCTCTTTCTGAAGAATTCTAATTATTTAAGGCATTGAGGCACAAGATAACACATTAAATAAAAGCCACAGAAATAATTTTTATGTATAAAAGATACATACTATTCGGAAACTTTAAAACTTTCTCTTATGGTATTTTTCTTCTTTTTTTCCCATGCTGCCCCTAGGGCTAAAACTCTAGGCCTAGGCCCTGTTCCTGAGCTTTGTACACAAGGTTAGTGCTCTTCCACTTGAGCCACAGCTCTACTTCCAGGTTTTTGGTGATTAACTAACTGGAGATAAGTGTTTCATGGACTTTCCTTCCCAGGTTGGCTTCAAATCATGATCCTCATATCTCAGCAACTTTTTTTTTTTTTTTTTGTTGGTCGTGGGGCTTGAACTCTGGGCCTGGGCACTGTCCCTCAGCTCTTCAGCTCAAGGCGAGCGCTCTACCACTTGAGCTACAGCACCACTTCCATCTCAGCAACTTTTTAAGGCATCTGTCTAACACTTGGAAAGCTACTCCAATTAGGAGTCTAACTTGTCTTTGAATATGCTTATATTTTTTTTATTGTGAAAATATTGTACAGAGGGGTTACAATTACATGGGCAAGATAATGAGTACATTTCTTATCAAGCATTGTAGCCTCCTCTTTTGTTTCCCCTTCCCATCCTCCCCCCCCCCCCTACCCAATCCTCCCCCCCACACCAAAGTTGTAAAGTTTGTTTTCGACATAACGACTTGTACATCTCATTGTTGCAATGGGTCCACCTGTATCCCTAGTTAAATGATTTGTTTTTTCCCTTCCCCTCCACAAATTATAACAACATCAAATACAGTGAAAGCAGGGGTTAAATGTGGGGGAGGGACATACAAAGCAACAAAGAAATAATCTTATAAATGTGTTAGAAACAATCGCATGAAAGAAAAAAACATCTGAATACATCTCTTAGGGTTCATTTCCCTAACATCAACTTATCTGACCTTTTCTGCTTGACTCAGACATATACTAGATATTGCAAATAAGGGAAACCATGGAACCTATGTTTCTTTGGGCCTGGCTTACTTCACTTAATATAATTGTTTCCAAGTCTTTCCATTTCCTAACAAATGGGGAAATGTCATTCTTTCTGATGGAGGCATAGAATTCCATTGTGTATATATACCACATTTTCTTGATCCATTCATCTACTGTGGGCATCTGGGTTGGTTCCATATCTTAGCTATAGTAAATAATGCTGCAATAAACATAGTCGTGCTGGTAGCTTTAGTGTGGTCTTGTTTGTGAACATTTGGGTAAATGCCCAAAAGTGGGATTGCTGGGTCCTAGGGGAGCTCTATGTGGAGTCTTTTGAGGAACCTCCATACTGCTTTCCAAAGTGGTTGAACAAGTTTACACTTCCACCAACAATGAAGTAAGGTTCCCTTCTGTCCACATCCCCTCCAGCATCTATTGTTATTAGAGTTCTTGATTATAGCCATTCTAAAGGAGTGAGGTGGTATCTCAATGTTGTTTTGATTTGCATTTCTTTTATTATGCCTATATTTTTTACTGGTATTACCTAGTAGTAAAGTAGATAATACTAATCCACATGGGAAGACTACTAATTTTGCAGTTGGACTTAAAATGTGTTATTTTAAACAGACAATTTTTGATGGTCAAATAAATACCTGGCCTCAATGAGCTTTTAAAATATTTTACCTGTGGTGCTGGAGGTTGGTCCTAGGTCCTTGTACATGATAGGCATATGTTCTAGCTCTGCACTAAATCCCCAGAGCCTCTCTCACCCCATCCAAACACACCAAGAACATTGACAATTCTCATATACTAAACACAATACTTGCCAGGCCATAAAGTTTAATAAGGCATTCTTACAGGGAGGCATGAAAAATCAACTTTATTCTTGCACAAATATGACACTTTATTCTTCAAAGTATTCCTTTAAAAATAAGTTAGTTTTTCCACATTATTCTTTTATTAACATATAACTATTGATCAAAACATAATATCACTGATTCACATAATGTGAAAGTATTAGCCATTTAACACATTGTTGAAAAGTACTTGCAATATTTTATGAGAATATTTTACATTTTACTAAATTCAGTGGACAGTTTCCTATTTTTCTTTAAAATCTACAAATGTCTTAATTCTCACATTACAAAAATTAAATAAAACAAAAAACAAAGCCAATCGCACAATAAAATCCTACAAAAGCACACTGATTTTAATGACAGGACATATATGAAATCACTGTGTAAAGCTCTTTTTAATGAACACTTTTGGAAAGCTTGCATTGAGTTCGAGAACAGACCTGTTATCAATCTGTGAACAGAAGGACACGTCAAGTAAGCAGAGATCTTTACAAGACTCCAGCAGTTTTCTTAAAGATGCTGGACTTACCATTCTTGTTCCTGTTTAAAAACAAAACAAACACAAACTTTAAATACAGAGTTTGTAAAATGTTCTAATAAGTCCCATAATCATTTACTTGAAACTAAAAAGAAATGGTCTTTTAAAGCTTAAAAGCTAGTGAAGTAAGCCAGGCCCAAAGAAACATAGGTCCCATGGTTTCCCTTATTTGCAATATCTAGTATATGTCTGAGTCAAGCAGAAAAGGTCAGATAAGTTGGTGTTAGGGGAATGAACCCCAAGATAAGTATTCAAGTGGTTTTTTTTTCTTTCATGCAATTGTTTCTAACACATTTATAAGATTATTTCTTTGTTGCTTTGTATGTCCCTCCCCCACAGTATAACCCCTGCTTTCACTGTATTTGATGTTGGTATAACTTGTGGAGGGGAAGTGCAAAACCAAAGCGTTTAACTAGGGATACAGGTGGACCCATTGCAACAATGAGATGTACAAGTCGTTATGTCAAAAAACGAACTTAACAACTTTGGTTTGTGTGTGGGGGGAGGATCGGGTGGGGGAAGGGGAGGAGTATGGGAAGGGAGGAGAAGGGGAAACAACGAGGAGGCAACAATGCTTGATAAGAAATGTACTTATTATCTTGCCCATGTAATTGTAACTCCTCTGTATGGTATTCTCACAATAAAAAAGATAATAATAATAAAAAAAGCTTTTTTTTTTTTGTCTCTTGTGGGGCTTGAATTCAGGGCCTGGGTGCTGTCTCTGAGCCTCTGTGCAAGCCTCTACCACCTGAACCACAGTGCCACTTCCATTTTTTGAGTAGTTAATTCGAGACAAGGGTCTTACAGGGACTTTTCTGCCTGGGCTAGCTTCAAACCCCAACCCTCACATCTTAGCCTCTTGAGTAGCTGGGATTATAGGTGTGAGCCACCAGCTCCTGGCTGCAGAAAAGCATTTTTTTTTTTTTTTCTGCTTATGTGGTGCTAAGGAATCGAACCCAGGGCCTCATGCATGCAAGGCAAGCGCTCTACCACTGAGCCACCTTCCCAGCCCTGCAGAAAAGCATTTTAAAAAATGATACATTTCACATTGAAATAGCTCTTAAAAATAAATAAAAACTGAACATTGCCAGTATATTTGGCAACTGAATCTTGTCAACTCTCTACCACTCTATCACTTTCATTCCTACCTCCCGCCCTCCACATTTTCTGGTTAACTCCAGGCTTCCCTACCTCTGTTACTCAGTGTGAAGAATGTTTCTCACATTTCACTTTTCCTCAACCTACAAGTCAAATTAGACAACCATGCCTACAGTAATTCAACTTCTAATCCAATGCAAGTGTAATTGCCAAGCAACTAGTCTGTAACTAGTACTGAGCATCTTTTTAGGTACTCAAGATGCAAAGATGGGTAAGACACATAGCTGCCTTAAGGAATTGAAGGGCTGAAAGAAAATAAATACAACACAGTTTGAAAAGGTTTATGGTGAATGGTAGGTATAAAATGGTATTACTGGAAGATAAATGATGGACAATGTAGCCATGTTAAATTTGAAGTAATTATGGGATATTTAGTTGGAAGCTAAATTAAATAAATTATATAAAGCAGTTGGCACAAGGAAAAAAATAAATACAAAAAATCATTTGATTCTAAGAGATTCTCTGTTATAAAAGATACATTGCTTTAATTTCAGATTTTCTGGGGGTGAAACAATCACAAAATCATATCACATAAGCAGTGTAGAATTAGGATTCTTCTCATTCTCTGAGAAGTCCTTTCTTTCCCCATCTTTGTTAGGGGCTCCAGAGAAGTAACTATAGTATCAGCCTGTCTGTCTGTGACTGTCCCAAACAACACTAAAACTCCTCCAGGGAATTTAAAATTGGAATTCAGCAAAGCTTTCATTACCTATAAATCTCTGGCTGAAGATATAGATAGCTGGGCTTGAACTGTTGTGCTCAGAAAAGCAGAAGTAGTTATTAGGAGAAGAAAAGAACCAGTAAAGCACGAGAGGAGTACTGGATGATGAGATGGATGTGGTGGTGCCTATCTGTAGTCCCAGCTATTCGTGATATGGAGACTGGGAGGATCTTAGTTCAAGGACAATCTATGTAAAACTCTAGCAAGACTCTATCTCAACAAATAAGCAAAGTGTGGTGGTTCACTCTACAGGAGACAGGTAGAAAATTCATAGCCTTAGGTTAGCCTCAGGCAAAAATTCCAGACCCTATTCAAAAAATAACAAGGAAGGAAGGGGGCTGTGTCTCAAGTAGTCAAGGAGCAAGCACAAGGCCCTAGTTCACTACAGTACTGCTCCCCACTCCCACCAAAGAAAAGGTGTTTGTGACTGACTATACAGTGGCAAAGGGTAGGGTAGGGGAGAGGTGCAAGAGCAAGCATGCAGAACAGGAAAAGAAAGACCTTCTGAGATCTGCAGTTTCTACTCATAAGATCTGAGAAACATACCTGTCTTTATAACAGTTCTATTTTCTTTATATATATATATATATATATATATATATATATATATATATATATTCATTGTAAAAATACTGTACAGAAGGGTTACAGTTATATGAGTAGGGTAATGAGTATATTTCCTATCGAGCATTGGTACCACCTCCTTTATTTTTCCCCTACCATCCCTTCCCTTCCCCCTCTCCAGCTCCTCCCTCCTCCTCCCAACATTGTAAAGTTTGTTTTCAACATATGGGTCAACCTGCATCCCCATTTAAGCATTCCATTATATCCCTTCCCCTCCCCAGATTACAAAAATGTATGTGCAAGATGTAGAACACCGGAATCAAATAGAGTGAGAACAGGGGTGATACCGTGGGGGAAGAACATACAAAAGAAACAAAAGAATCACATAGTACATTGTAAGTGCATTAAAAACAAGCAAGGAAGAAAAAAAACACTTATGTCCCTGTCTTGGGGTACATTCCACTTAACATCATCTTATATGGTCATACGTACATAGCCTTTCACCTTCTCTGCTTGTCCTAGACACTTACTAGTCACTGCAAACAAGGGAAACTACAAAACCAATGATTTTCTATTTTCTTTCTACTATCTCTTTTGTTTGTTGTTGGTCTTCTGGACTTGAACTCAGAGCCAGAGATATCCGCTAGCTATTTTGCTCAAGGCTAGCACTCTAAGGAGTAGATACAGTTCCACTTCCAGTTTTCTGGTTGTAAACTGGAGATAAGAGCCTCATAGACAAGTTGAACCACAATCCTCAGATGTCAGTCTACTGAGTAAATAGGATCACAAGTGTGCAACACCAGCGCCTGGCTCCACTAAGTTACCTTCAGTTATCTAAGTTATAAAGTAAGATCAGAGAATCTCAACCTAGACACTTAAGTTTTTTTTTTTTAACCTAGGGTTCTAATTGCTTTCTATTTGCTAGTTTTGCCCACAGGAATATCTGAGTTTCCTGGTAAGTTATGAATTCCTTAAAACCCAAGACAATGGCTGTGAAGGAAATCAGATTGCAAGTGTAACTTGTCTGGAACTCCCCTGTCCAGTGCTTTGGAGCTCCTGTACACTTCCCTCTTGTTACCACTATTACACACACAGCCAGACAGCTTTCTCCTTCATGACACAGGTCATATCTACCTTTTTCATCGGTATTTCTAATGCTTAGAACAATGCCCAACACAGTGTATGCTCAATAAATGTATACCATGTGAAAGAAGGGAGGATGATTGGACCTTCATTAAGAGAATTACACATAATATAATTTTTTCCATGTCTTTTCATTTCCTTATGAATGGGACAATATCATTCTTTCTGATGGAGGCATAGAATTCCATTGTGAATATATACACCACATTTCCTTGATCTACTGAGGGACATCTAAGTTGGTTCCATATCTTAGCTATGATAAATAATGCTGCAGTAAACATGGTTGTGCTGGTAGCTTTAAAAAGCCTTGTTTGTGGTCATTTGGGTAAACGCCCAGAAGTGGGATTTTGCTGGGTTATAGGGGAGCTATATAGGTAGCCTTTTGAGGATCCTTCATACTGCTTTCCAGTATGGTTGAACAAGTTTACCATCCCACCAACAGTATAGTGGTAATCTCTTTTGGTCACATCCCTTGTAGCATCTGTTGTTATTGTATTTCTTGATAATGGCCATTCTAACTGAGGTGAGGTGGAATCAATGTAGTTTTGGTTTGTCTTTTTTTTGTTTTGTTTTTTGGTCGGCCGTGGGGCTTGAACTCTGGGTCTGGGCGCTGTCTGTTGTTATTGTATTTCTTGATAATGGCCATTCTAACTGAGGTGAGGTGGAATCAATGTAGTTTTGGTTTGTCTTTTTTTTGTTTTGTTTTTTGGTCGGCCGTGGGGCTTGAACTCTGGGTCTGGGCGCTGTCCTTCAGCTCTTCAGCTCAAGGTGAGTGCTCTACCACTTGAGCTACAGCGCCACTTCCGGTTTTCTGGTGGTTTATTGGAGATAGGAGTCTCACGGTCTCTCCTGCCTCTCCTGCCCGGGCTGGCTTTGAACCGCGATCCTCAGATCTCAGCCTCCTGAGTAGCTAGGATTACAGGCGTGAGCCACCAGCGCCCGGCTTGGTTTGTATTTCTTTTCTTTTTTTTTTTTAAATTCAATTTAATTTTATTTGTGAACATACTGTACAGAGGAGTTACAGTTACATGGGCAGGATAATGGTTTGTATTTCTTTTATAGCCAGAGATGTTGAATATTTCTTCATGTGTCTATTGGCTATTCTTATTTCCTCTCCTGAGGAAATAAGTACATTTTTCCCCTCTCTTTTTAATTCATTAGCCCACTTATTAATGGGGGTGTTTTAGGATTTGTTATTGGGGTGGTAATTGTTTTAGCTCTAGGTATATTTTTGATTTGAAGCCTTTGTCTGTCATAATATCAATGTTATTTTGATTTGCATTTCTTTTATGGTCAGAGATGTTCATGTGTCTATTGGACATTCTTATTTTCTCTTTAGAGAAGTCCCTTTTTAAGTCTTCAGCCCACTTGTTAATGGGGCAATTATTTCTTTAAGGATTTGTTTTTGAGAGATTTAATTTTTTGAGTTCCAAATATATTTAGATATGAGGCTCTTGGAAAAAAATCATATTAACTAAGCCAGATCCAAGGAAACATAGATTACATGGTTTTTCTCACTTGTAATAATTAGTATATGTCTAGGATAGTCCTAGCAGATGAGCAGAATAGCTCAGTAGCTATATACATATGACCAGATAAGATGATACTAAGATCTTTAAGGATAGCAATGTGCTTTTACTTGGCTTTGTATTAATAAGCAGTTTTGTTAGTGTGAAGCAGTTACGCCACTAGACACTCATAATCTACCAATGACAAAAGAATCACTACTAAACTTAACAAAGAATTCTCCTTTTAAAAAAAAGGAAGATTCTAATCCTATGAAACTAGGAACACTGAGGGAAGGATGGGAAAAAAAGATGAAAGAGGTGATATTGATCAAGATGAACTGTACATATAAACAGATTCATTGAATGGCAGCCCATTCATACAACTACTTAAAGATAATAAAAGTATAGTCTAAAAAAATTAAGAAGAAGATTCTTACACTTAGGAATGAAGGAAAACAAATAATAATAAAGGTAAAGAAAATACAGTATAGTGGTTAGAATAGACTGAAGTTCACATCTTGACTGCAGCCTGACTAGCTGTGACCAAGTCAGCAAATCTGAGCCCATTTCTTCATGTGTGGTAATAATCAGTTGTGAAGGCTAAATCAGTTAATATGTGCTCAGAACATATAGCATACTACCATGTTTCAGTTATTGTTATTAATTAACCACTGATTGCCAATGCTCACTGTGCTCTTACATTTAATATGAAACATTTGTATATATTTGCATGGTGGTTGACTTCTATCAGCAATTATTTATGACATAATAGAGAATGACACTTCCTTGGTCTTATCCCCATAAAGGCTGCCAATGTTTATAAAAAGAGTCATTATTCTTCTTATTTTTTCTTGATGTCTCTATGAAGCCATTCTTAAATTTCACAGGACAAAGTTGGGCTGCCTGACAGTCTATTATAGTGCTTCTCAGTGCTGAGCAGTGTTTAGAATCCATGTTTCTCAACAGAATGGTGAAAGGACAAGGGGGAACCAATGCAACAGTGATACTCACGAGTCAATATGTTGGAAATGATCAATTGTGTGGGGCTTGGGGGGGGAGAGAAAGAGGGAGACAAATGAGGGTAGGGGTAAAAGTTTGACAAGAAATGTACTTACTACCTTAAAATTGTAATCCCTCTGTATACCATCTTGACAATAAAAAAATTAACAACTACAGAAAAGAATCCACATATTATTCATGGTTCTTTAGCATCTCCTCCTGACACTGACTACTTTTCACATTTAATGTGACTATTTTTTTGAATTGGGAAAGAGTTATGGACTAGACTTTAACCAAGAATGGCACTATCCTCTGGAGGGAAACTCGCATCTATTTTAAAAGGTCTTGGTCACTTTTCCTTGTTCTTCACTTTCATAACTCTTTCTTAAACTTTTCAAAATATATCTCTCCTAAGCAGTTTAGGATAACTCAAGAACAAAGATCGCTAGAAAAAAGAGAAATAATCAGAGTAAGTTGTTTAAAGAGACTGATGGTAGGACTGAAACCTTAGATTTGAGCTCCTGTTCTGCCCCTTAATAATGGCAGAGACACAGTGCTTTCACCTATTAAAATGCAATGAGACCACTCCTTGAGCTACTGTACATCAAGTAAAATACAATACACATTGGTATTCAGTCCAAAGTGTTACATATCATAAGGAAGAATTTCTGGTTGAAAGTGGCTTGAATAAGTCAGATGCAACTACATATACACCATCTACACATGTATTGTAAACCTGAATGTGGATAGATGTTAACTAAAAATCCAACCCAGGTATTGAAAATCTTCAAGTTTTTCTTGGGGTGAATGTTTAGGATATAAAAGTACTTTATGGACTAATGTACTAGTTCTAATATATTATCAAAAACTATAGTTCAAGTGATATGAGTGAAAAAGTAGCAACTACATGGGCTATGCCCACAGTGGCCTTATTGGTACTTCTGGCTAAGGTGAATGAGTCATTAAGTACCAGAGTATTCTAGGCTAGTTAGTACAGAAATAGCACAAGAAATTTAGGACTGTGAAACATTTCAACACATCTGTCTTGGAGTAGATTATTCCTAAAAGCAGAATTATTGCAGATGGAGATTTCACAATATCCTTAATCAAGAGTTTAACATTAAGAAGCTTAAGAAAACCCTAATTTGAATTCGTTATATAAATGGATTCATTTCTTCTTTTCTATACTTAATAAAAATGAAAAAAAAACTCATTTAAATTCTTACTTTTCTAAGTAGACTGGTAATTATTATTTAGAGTTTTTGACAGTTTGAACTATAAAGTTATAGGACTGTCCTCATTATATTACATATGTATCTAACATATGTAACATAATACATGTATATACATATGTATAAACACATGTAAAATGAATTCCTATGCCAACTTATCTGTCTTGCACATTCTATCAAACAAAGTAATCTTATCAGCACAAATAGTTTATTGTAAGCAGTTTTGGTTTCCTTGCAAAAAGTGAGAGATTAAGTTTTATGTCAGGAAATAGAGTTTAAAAGAAATTTATATATTGCATCCTTACCTAATATGTCCAGTTGTCGTAATCTGGTACAATTAGATGCTAGCTCTTCAATATCTGTGTCACACACAGACCTGTTAGCTGTAAGAAAGAGTTTCTGCAAGTTTGGCAGCTGGCGTGCTAGTTTGGTGAAGCACCCGGTGCTGCTCTGCAGAGTGGGGCACCAGCCAAGGTCAAGTTCCTCCAGAAGTGGACACCCAGAAGCCAGTTCTGCTATTCCATTCTCCGTAATGTTCTTACACCTCCACAGATCCAGGGTCCGAAGCTTTTTACACTTGGCTCCTATCATGCTAGCTATCACATCATAGTCTTCTATCTGGAAATGAAACAGTTCCAATCTTTTATGTGGTATGCACAGAAATGCAAAGTGTTCAGAGCAAGTTATCCTTTTCTTCCATGTAAAAATACCCATCATTGTTCAGACAGATTTGTCCACCCAAGTCACTCATCTCATTATTTCCTAAAACAGCAAAAGGACCACTTACTTTAAAATTGATGTAACAAGCTCAGAGAAACAAAGAGCTCATGTTTTCTCTCATATGTGGAAGCTAGACCTAAAAAATTACTAGGACATAATAAATTATACAGATCTCTAGGAATTCACATACAATGAGACCAAAGGAGAGCACTCTCAGGAGAGAACGGAAAGGTACAATGCCTATGTACACCTGATCATACAAAATAATATTTATCAGCGACAAAGGAGAAAAAAAACAAACAAGAACAAAATAGCAAAAACATCTTGCTTCTGTTTCTTGGAATTCATCTAGATAAACATCACTTTATGTATCATATGCACATAGCTACTGAGCCTTCTGAGCCTCTCATTTTTGTCTTGTATGTAAATTTATCTGCTTTGAGGAAGGTAAAGAGCAAGCACAGAAATGGAGAGACAAAATGTGGAAAAATGCAGCAGTGATACTCACTAGACACTATGTTGAAAATGAACTGTACAACTTTTGGAGTGGCTTGGAGGGAAAAACTGGGAGAAAGCGAGGGAAGGGGTGACACTGTTTAAAAAGAAATATACTCATTACCTGACTTAGGTAACTATAACTCCTCTGTACATCACCTTTACAGTAACAATGAATAAAAAATAATAAAATAAATAATTCCTATGAACCAGATAAACTATAAAAAAGATTTATTGAAATGAAATCCAGGAAATGGAAACTATGGGTATTTTTGTTAGTGTTTATTTGTTTTTGGTGCTTTTGTTTTGTTTATATGTTTTTTGGAGTATAAGGGGGAAGCACAGAAATGGAGGGACAAAGGGTAACAAATGCAGCAACAGTACTCACTGGACACTATGTTGAAAGTAAAGTATACAATTTGTGGGTGGGATGAGGGGGAAAAACTGGAAAAACTGGGAAGGGGTGACATTAAAAGGAAATGAACTCTTCGTTTGACTTATATGTAAGTGTCACCCTTTTTAGAATTTTCTAAAAAAAAAAACCATAACAGTAAGCTAAATGAATTTAATCCAAAAGAAGTCTGGTCTTCAGTCTCTCACAAACAGTTGAGGATTATGTGCTATTCATTTCTATCATTTTGATTTTGCTATCATTTTTTTTTTTTTTTTTTTTTTGGCGGTGGGGCCTGAACTCTGGGCCTGGGCGCTGTCCCTCAGCTCTTCAGCTCAAGGCGAGCACTCTGCCACTTGAGCTACAGCACCACTTCCAGCTTTTTGTGCTTATGTGGTACTCAGGAATTGAACCCAGGGCCTCATGCATGCAAAGCAAAGCACTCTACCACTGAGCCACCTTCCCAGCCCCTGATTTTGCTATCATTTTGATGTGACTCTTTGATAGGATATAGTTTTTCCAAATGCTTAATATATTTAGGTAGATATGTAATATATCTCTGATAAATCTATATGCTTTGGTAGTCTCTAAAACTGTGTGGAAATGCTGTGACAGCGCTAATTAGAATTGTCTGGGATTGAGTGAGGCATGTACAGACTGAACACACACCACAAAAATAATTTTGCTTTTACTATTTTAATCACTGTTAGTATTGGAGGTGTCCAATTAAGGACATCTCCTAATTAAGGATTAACATTTCTCTTCTTGGCTTTGTATGCTTTAATAATATTTAATGTTTAATAATGGTTATTTCAAGGGGTTCATTTGGTTTTGTTCTATCAGGTATGAAAGTTGTCACCAGAAGTCAAAAAGAACAGAAAATAGCAAGTATTTGCAACTATTTTTTCCCTTTATTTGCTTATTCAATTTTCAACAAATATTTATGCACCTACTATGTACCAGAACCATACAGATACAACAACAGCAAATCAAAAAGCAGACAATTTGTTTACATTGTTGGAAAGATGTGGAGTAAATCAATGAGCAAACATAATCCAGAAAGAAGCACTCAGTGTGAAAACCTGAAAGGGGTTACATAGGAATGTCAGGAGTGGTCAGATAGATGGTGGTTGCTGGGATCTCCAGGAATGAGCTTGGTGCTCTAAAGAAACAGCAATGAATCCACTCCGGCAAGGGTGGTGGAGAGGATAGGCTATGGGGGCAGAGTTATACAGGCACCTGGAACCAGTTTTTAAAAAATGGAACTGAAGTTTTAATTCCACGTAACAGGGACGGCAACAGAAGGTTTTAAACAAAGGTGTGATATAATATGATTTACACCAAAAAAAAAAAAAAAAAACCTGTCTGGTTTCTGTTCAGAGGATGGCTAAAGGTAGGTGGGAACATCACTAACTGTAGATCTGATTGGTGCAGCCAGTCAATTAGTGCCTTAAAAACTTAAGAGCTGGGGGCATGATGGTTCAAGTGATAGAGTGCCTTGCTAGAGTCCAAATCCCAGTTTAAATCTATCTATCTATCTATCTATCTATCTATCTATCTATCTATCTATCTATCTATCTATCTATCTATCTATCTATCTGAGAGAGAGAGAAAGAAAGAGAGCAAGGAAGAGAGGGGAAGAAAGAGGAGAGAGAGAAAAGAGAGGAGAGAGAGGAGAGAGAATATTAACATTTTTGAAACCCATGATTCCAGTTATGCTGAATTTGTACCATGACAATCTTGGTGGTATTCTTGCCCAATATACTATACTATATGAATTAACTGCAAGAATTTCTGGTTTTTTTATGTTTTAGTTTTGGCAGACCTGGGGTTTGAACTCAGGGCCTCAGACTTGTTAGGCTAGCACTACACCATATAAGCTATTAATCTAGCCCTTCTTTTTGCTAGTTACTTTTGATTGAACATGGAATCTAAGAAACTTTTCTGCCAGATCTGGCTTTACATTATATCCTTCAAATCTCAGTTTCCTAAGTAGCTAGGATTATGGATGTGAGCCGAGAGTTTTTTTTGTTGAGAACTTTTCACAATATTATTAAACACATCAAGCCTAAACATATTCAGAGCTGGGAAAATAAAAATCAAACCACATAATTTTTACTGTGGTGATGGTGACCTGTCTTTTTTTTATTAATAGTAACTCATTCTTTTTTTTTTTTTTTTGGGTCCAGTCGTGGGGCCTGAACTCTGGGCCTGGGCACTGTCCCTCAGCTCTTCAGCTCAAGGCTAGCGCTCTACCACTTAAGCCACAGCGCCACTTCTGGCTTTTTTCTTTTTGCTTATGTGGTGCTGAGGAATCGAACCCAGGGCCTCAGGCATGCAAGGCAAGCGCTTTACCACTGAGCCACCTTCCCAGCCCTAATAACTCATTCTTAATTATAGAAGTTATATAGAACTTTTTCCCTTAAAAAGAATACATTAGACACATTTCTTACTTATTATCTTATTTAAAAAAATGACAACTGTCTCTGTGCAACTATCCTCAAGAAGTTAAGTGACTTGATTAGGATCAAATAATTAGCAGGAAACCTAAGAAAATATAAACAAGGTCTTATAATTCTCTAGTTTTAAATACATGAAGAAGCACTACATAATACAAATCATATATGGAATTAAAATTTTTCTGGTTACATTTTAAATAGTAAAAAGAAATAAGATGAATTATCAATCTTTTTTTGTTGATAACACTACAATTGACACATTGTAAGTTTTAAAATTATTGCAATGTTTCACATATTTTTGTACTAAGCATTCTATTTCAAGGGCTCAGCTGCCACAGGTGGTTATCAACTATTAGACTGGATAGCACCATCTGAGAAGCTAATTATGAAGTTCCTTGATTCTTTCTTTTAGACTATCAAAGGGATCATTTGTTTTTTCTTTCCCCTTCCTGGGACTGAATGATTAGCAATACAGAACTCAATTCAATAAAAGTAATTTTATTGTAAATTTTGCTTGAGCACTTTGCTTTCAGACTACAAAGTCTGTCATATGAGTAAGTGCTAGATAATAGGAAATATGCCTCAAAAGGCATTACAACCTCTAGAAAGGGTCCTCAAGGGAAGATGGTATATCTTCTATCTTCCCCTATAGCTTGACTGAACCATGAGGCAAAATATGTGACTGACATTCTTTAAGAAAATTTAAGCGTGGTAAATGGCTTGTCTGAGATAACATCTGGCTGGGGCAGAACTGAACCCTTTTCATTACATTTTACTTTCCTTGCTCTCATAGATAAAGGCTCACTCTCCAACTTAAGAAAAAAAGTTTAAATGTGGGAGACAATATTGTTAATCATAAATCTAAGAATGAGTAGATGTGGATCATAATGGGTCAGCATAAAATTCACTCAGGGGAAGCAAACAGAACAAGCAAGCTGAGTGTAGAGGACTTTCATATACTAACCATTACACAGCTGCCCAAACTGAGGTGCTGCAGCTCCGAGCAGAAGTTCAAAATGCTGAGCAGTGCTGTTTGCTGCCATCAGGGACCACATCACAGGCGGATAAGGAAGGTGAATGAAAGTGAAGCAAAGAGAGGAGGTCAATTAGACATTAAAGGCTGTCACTGCTTTTTCTGAAATATAGCTCAAAACCGAGGCTACAGATTCCACAAATGCCACTTAATGAGTCCCCAAGTGCCCACCATTGATTGGCTTGGAGTCAAGATAATCATTACTAGTTTCCATGTAGCTTGTCATTTTGTATATGGTTTTGCATACAGTGAATATACCTTTATTCCTATAGGATCTCTCTGTTTATTTCTCAGAGGTAAAAAATTTGAAGGTCTAGTTAAGAAGACAAGTTAACCTACCCTTCCTCAAAAAAGAAACAAAAATGGAAAGAAAGAAAGAAAGAAAAAAAAGAAGAGAAAATAGGAGAAAGAGAAACCAAGACCTACAGGGATTAGTGACACTCCTGAAGAACAGTGACAGCTCTAACATTCACTGATCAGCTGCAACCTGATGGAACTGCCAATAGAGTCACCCCAAATCAGATCTGAGCTTGTGACTTTAATGTCAAAGGATTCTCTTTGCTGACAAGGATACCAATAGTCATTGAGCACCTGTCAGTAGCAACATGCTGGCTGAAATATACATAACATGCATTTTCTACTCATGTTCCTGCCATTTAAACCTGTCTACCCAATGCAATGAGAACGGTCTCACCACTAAAGAAACCCAAAGGCATAGTGCATTACAAAGTCATGACAACTATTTTTATTTATTTAGGTACTGGGGATCGAATCCAGGATGTTGCACTTGCTAGGCCAAGTGCTTTGCCACTGAGCTACATACCTAGCCCGCAACTAGTTTTTAAATAAGTATTTTTTATAAGTCCTCATTTCATCTGATTACACAACTGACACAAAAAAAACTGTAAAAGATAAAGCAATGTAAAATATTATATTTCCAGGTTTTTCTTTGATCAAGATGAAACTGTCCACTCACATGCAAAACGTCTATCTGAACATGTGAAATAAATCCTGCTTAACAAAATTTAGCTATTATGAAACCTGTTAAATCTTCCAAGTATTCAGAAATTGAAAAGTAACAGTTGAAAGAGGGGTGAGTGAGCAGTATGCCAATGACAATACAAAACATCTGGCCAAATCCGAGATAAGATTCTCACTGGGAATATAGAGTAATGAAGTATTTCACATAAAATAAGGTTACTTAAAGCAAAAATAAAATAACTGTTACAATGGGCCCTAAAGGATACTACTAGACTTCAGTTCATTTCTCCACTGAGTACTTCTTTAAATGTAAGGAAAAAAGCCCCATGATTTTATTGATTGTATATTTAAATTTTAACATCATATAACATGTATAAGACAATGTAACTCTCAGAAAGTGACCATTACAAGGATATGTAAGTCTAGTGAATTTTGAGATTCTCCATAATAATATGTAGCTATATTACTAATAGCACCATAGTACTGGGTTTATTTTTATTAATGTATCAGATCTTCATAAAACCACTTCCTAATACTTTCCTATAAGCAAGATCTAAGACATACTAGAGAATTTTTAAACAGCACCCACCACGTTCTTATAAGAAATCCTAAATGAAATTGGCTGTAGCTTGGTGATAGACTGTTTGCCTACCATGAGCAAGGACCCTGGTTCCCAGCATTGGAAAAAATATGCTCTCTCACACACTTAAATAATTTATGTAACTTGCCTGGTAAGTTATTTGAAATTATTTATTGAGGCATCCCAACTATAAGGGTAAGTACAGGATCCAATATGATATTCATATGGCTAACACCAGATGTTAATGGCAAGCCACTTCCAGTATTAGTTAATTTTGATAGTTAGTGTTATGTGTCAGCCTCAGTGGGCTCCAGGGTTTGGAGATGCTTGGCCAAAATATTATTCTGACTGTTTATGTACAGGTGTCTTTGGACAGTATTAACATTTAAATCAGGAAATGGATTAAAGTACATTTCTCTCGATAATGTGTCCTACTCTCATCCAACTCAACAGATCAACTAAAGACTGATCCTTCACCAAGTAAGACAGAATTCCTGCCTGATGGTTTTCAAATTGGGAAATAGGCTTTTCTCTTACTGAACATCAGCTCCTCCTGGGTCTCTAGCTTGCTGCCTCAATCCTGCAGACCTTGAGACTTGCCAGCCTCATTCCACATGAACCACTTTTTATAATACATCTTAATAAGATGTCTTCCATTAGCTTTGTTTCTCTAGAGAACCATAACTACCTCAGCTATAAAAGGGTTATATTCCCTGCCTTGGCTACTCCCCTTCCTATTTTCACTTGGAGAAAGGCAGCTGCCATGTCATGAGGACACTAAACCATCCTATGGAGACTCACATAGAGAAAAAGAGAGGCCTCTGGCCAAGATCTCAAAAACAGCTCTGCCAATAGCCATATGAGTGAGTATGGAAGAGGATCTTCCAGAGATAGTCCTGCTTTGAGATGACTGGAGCTCCAACCTTTTTAGAGGCCTTTTTTGGTCTCCTTAGAGCTAAAACACCCATCTAAAATAATCAAGATTCCTGAATTACAGAAACTGTGAGATAATAAATGTAGTTTGTTTTAAATCACTACATTTTAGAGTAATTGATATAAAACAAGAGATAAATGATACACTCACTAGTATATATAGTTAGTGCTACATAGGCATTAAGTAAATGAATAGCATTCATTTGAAAAGCCTATTAAGTACAGACATTTGTAATACACACACACACACACACACACACACACACACACACAAGCTTATGGCATTTAAAACCTTTACACACTTGAATATACTCTTCAAATTTCTTTTCTAATTTAGCTATTCACTCTTTCTGTTTAACTTAGAATTTATCCCATATATTGACACTTAAAATTCCAAGGAATTTAATTCATTTTCTAGCTTTTAATAAGTTTTTATTAACTACTTGTTTTGTTGGTTAGTCTACTTATGTTCAATTGTTGCTAGTTGTTTTTTAAAAATATGATTTCTTTCACTTCCTTGAACATGCACCGCCTGATCCCACACGCTTTATTCATCCCTGTCTAAGGGTCTTACAGACCTTTTCCAGACCACTCTGCTCAAGCCCTGGGGATACTGCAGAAGCAGTAGAAGGCTTACCTTAGTTCTGAGCATGAGGCACGACCAAGATCAGCCAAGTCACTATGTCCTTAGTGGTTTATCTACCTAGGCCAAATCCCTCCTTTCTCTAATGAGTTTCATTCAAACCTCTGGAATGACCTAGACAGCCATACAATACTAACAATTAACTCAAACTGTTTATCCATTCCTAGGTTCTCTTGATGTAGTCTGAAATGAATTCCTTGATAAGTCAGTATTTCTAATTAAAAAGAAGACTGAACTATTTCTTGTAAAGAATACCATTATTAGCTTTCCTGGACTGTACTTCAGAGGAAGCTTTTCTGTTCTTATTGTCTTTCTTAAAGATTGTAACTTTTAAGGCACAGGCCTAACTGCATGTCTTCCTCACTCATGTTTGAACTAAAGGTCTAATCAGTTGCATCTAAAAAACAATGAAGTAATAATAGGTGTATTCTTTCTCTGGGAGAATTTTTAGTTAAAAAATACTTTTTTTCATACCTAAATACATTTACACTGGAAAGTATTTCAGAATAAGTTAGTCTTTACATTAAATTAAGAATTAGATAAATAATTTAATAGTCAAGAGAAGTACCTTTTTTATTCCCATCTTAAAAAAGAACAAAAGAATATTCATGATAAATGACATTACCCATCTTTGCTGAATAAGAGATTAGAGATAAAATGAATGGATGTGATGGATAATGGAAGAGATGCTATGAGAGGTATAACAGAATCAAAGGTAAATAAAAGGAGTGATGGGTAGCACTGAAATGAACAATTATAACTTACAATTGTTTCATGGCTTTTTCAAGTAAAGCTTATTGGTTAAAATCCAGAGACCACCAGAATACCCAGTTTAAGAGAATTATATTAAGTAAAGTAAGCCAAGCCCAAAGAAACATAGGTCCCATGGTTTCCCTTATTTGCAATATCTAGTATGAGTCAAGCAGAAAAGGTCAGATAATGTGATGTTAGGAAAATGATATGTATTTTAATGTTTTTTTCTTTCATGCATTTGTTTCTAACGCATTTATAAGATGATTTCTTTGTTGCTTTGTATGTCCCTCCCCCACAGTATAACCCCTGCTTTCACTATATTTGATGTCGGTATAATTTGTAGAGGAGATGGGGAAAAACAAGTCGTTTAAGGATACAGGTGGACCTGTTACAACAATGAGAAGTTTAAGTTGTCATTTCGAAAACGAACTTTACAACTTTGGTGGGGGGGGGGGGGTGGGGTAGGATTGGGTGGAGGGGCAGGGGGGGAAAGGCTGGGAAGGGATGTGAAGAGTAAACAAAGGAGGAGGCTGCTTGATAAGAAATGTACTCATTATCTTGCCCATGTAATTGTAGCCCCTCTGTACAGTATGTTCACAAAAAATAAAATTAAAATTAAAAAAAAAAAAGAATAAGTTCAATTAACTTACAGCAAAACCTGGAAAAAAAAAAAAGAGAATACCCATATATACACCTATGATATCAGTTGCTATTCCTCTAAACCCAGTTAACCCATTTCCTCTGTGGGGGCTTGAAATTTGGGCCTGGGCTCTGTCCCTCAGCTTTTCAGCTCAAGGCTAGCGCTCTACCACTTGAGCCACAGTGCCACTTCTGGTTTTTTAAGAGTCTCAATACTCGATAGGAAATGGATTCATTACCTTGCTCATGTGACTGTAACCCCTCTGCACAGCATCTTTACAATAAAAAATATATACTAAAAAAAAAGAGTCCTATGGACTTTCCTGCCCTGGTTGGCTTTCAACCATGATCCTCAGATCTCAGCCTCCTGAATAGCTAGGATTACAGGCCTGAGCCACTGGCACCCAGCTTTAAAATATTTTTGAATATTTATTCTCTATGCAGTTATTGATCACAATTAAGGCACTGCTAATG